TGGGCCACAACTTGACATGTCTTGATGTCCTTTTGAGGTTATTCCCAGTAATGAAGCAATGACGTCTAGAACCTTGGAAGCCGAGATATGAGCGAACTACGGTACCAGTTAAACTCTGCCAAAAATCACATGATCCCACTGGACCACCAATCAATCTTCGTCTTGAGAGCCACCTCTAATCTTGGCTCTGATGATGGATGACAAATGATAAAACTTACCCATCACTTTGTAAGTCAACCCATCGAGCCCATATCAACAAAATTTGCCATTCCTTGAAACGGTCTCAAGTACTAGGTGTACATCGTATATTGATAGTTGTACTTTATCTGTACACTCATCTCACGCACGAGATAATCTCGACCATCTACTAATATATATCGTCTATTTACTACCAGCAGCTACTTCATAACGAGACCTTGATAATTTTCGGAGACTTTGTTCCTAGGCAAGATACTTCAAGTACCTGTGAACAGACAAGATTGACATTCGGGATCGGGCATCCATTCATTATCATTTCGGCTGTACATGTTCGGCAGTCCTCTGGTGCTCTTTATCATGTTTTCAAGAAATAACATATTCACATGCTTGTTATGAAGCTCAATGCCTTCGAGGTACTACCCCTAGTAACCTTTGAAGTACCTTCCCAAGTAGGTAGGATCTCAATACAGTCTAGAATTCAATATCTGTAGGCATAACCATAGGGATTCGGCTTAAGTTAAAGGAACGAACTTGGGATTGAAAAGATGAGTATTGGGTTTCAATTTCTAATCGCCTTACAAGCGCCCCAACGGGCTGACCTCTTAACATGTGGTTTAGTGATGGTGTTCCTGACGGCTGACACTTCAATAGGTGCCGAATTTCGCACCGTTCAGATCGACTCTAAAAGATCATTCCATCAAGAGTGCTCAAAGGATGACTATCCAGAATTACTAAACCTACGTGGTGGGATCGTGGTGGTACCATATACACCTAGTCCCACCTTACAATACTGCGACATTGATCTCATGTTGACTTCAAATGCAGTACCACATCGCCTCGAGTAATTCAGAGTGTCACGACATCAGAATTGTCACTCGAGTTGGCATGCCATGTCATGGATATCAGCGTCTGACCTCCAAAAGATATCCCAACACTCATTGTACAATTTTGAAAATCTTCCTATGAGAGCATCTTTGCATCGAAAAAGGCGTTTCTGACGGTCTTGTTCAGCATGTTTGTTAACACGTGTGGCTGGGGGGAAATGCATCTTACTTTGTGATCCCACCTCAATTCCATCCTAGTTCCAGAATGGAATGTACTAAGCCATCAAACTGTTTCGAATTCCTCCGATATCAGTTTTTCGCCATCGAAGGACCGATATGAGTTTCTACATTGGTAAACATTTTCCGACCCTCCAAATTCGTGTTTGGTGCGATCTAAGATTCAGGTCGTGATCACCATATGTTAAGAAAGCAAGAAACAAGGATCTTCAAGTCAGCTGGTGTTTGAGAGTGAAGAAGGTCAACCAAAAAACATAAAGATTATCAAGCTGTGAGACTTATGGCAAGAGGCTCGTTGATCTGGGGTAACAAGGTAAAAAAAAAGTGCGGGAACATCGGCCCATTCACCGCAGCGCTTCTCTCACGATGCAGGTTTCACTAGAACGTGGAGGAATCGGAGATTTTTCCGTGGTTTTAATGTTCAATATTGGTCAACTGGTTCCTGGAAAATCAATATATCAGTACACGGGTCCAGTCATTTCTTTTACTCATGATTCGACAACCTCACGACGCACTTATGAACTTGGGGTTCAGAAAAAGGGGTCCCCGGGATGGTCTCAATGTATAATAATGGCACGTATATTTTCATCTGGATAACCTTAGTATATCGCGCCAGCCTTAAGATTTCCACCTCGATGGCGGCGGATTTCGGCTCCTGAAGAGACACGGGCCATATTGCGCTTCTCGGGTGGCTGGCTAAAGCTTATCATCTAACTAATATCTTTGACAACCTAGACACGGAGTCCGAGACGAAATGCCTACGTTATATCTCATCCTGGCACATGATATTACAAGGGACCATGGAAAGTAGCATTGTCACATCTAGATACCAACAATCTGCCACCCCTGCCTGAAATGAATGAAGTGAATGATTCGCATGATGACAAAATCTAATGTCACCTCAACTGAGATTGACTGAAAGGAAAAGAAGCAAGTACCGACTTTGGAGAAGAACAGAGTTACTTCTGAATCTCAAGGAATGGAGAATTTCACGGGGAAATTTAACATGGATCTCCTCGGGACTCCGCATCTTGGTCCTACTAACAGCTGCACCTGCATATGGCAGTTCCAGTTTTCTCACGCTTATCAAGGCCTCGCACCTGGTAATACGTGGGGATCTTTTTGATCTGGAGAAGGATAGACCTTCAGGATTCTGTTGGATGTGCATATTGCATGCTGCACCTTTTCGAAAGCCTGACGTGACCCGACTGTTACCGACCTTGGAGATGAGATAGAGAGTGAATTTATGAATTGTTTTATTGATCACGGCTTAAAATGTGACTTTGCTTACGAGCTTTCATCAAATCAACACAATCAATATGGGGTTGCCAAGAAGTTGGGGTCGGGCACAGAGTCACATTGGGATTAGAGCAACACTTATAAAAGTGCAAGCGAAAGCATGTGCAGACGAGCAAGCTCGAATAAGGACGAGGAACATCGGACCGTTTGGTGCTTGGATGGTCAAGTAACCAGGAATAACCACTAACAATTCAATGAGAACAATACTGGTCGTACCATATCCGATTCCTTTTCGGTAAGTAAGTATGTATGAGAATTGACATGCATTCAGCACCAGCTAGACTCGAGTACCCAACCTCGCTAACGTACTATTTGCTATCCATAATCTTATTACCGTGTCGTGAATGTTGTTTGCATGTGTTTGTTGCATTGATCTTCCCAGAACATGTGTGGTTGCGTTCGGGAAGATGCTGCTAATGGCATGCTGCGTTGAAGATTGGAAACTGCTGACCACAAAGCCAGAATTTGGATTGATGATGATTGAAGTGTGGAGATCTGTGTGGTGCCCGAAAGGAAGTTACCTCGGGCTGAAAATGGCGATCAGAGAGGGGGACTTGATGTACCTACCTCAACATTGCAAATATTATGCGCACCATTACGGTGGATCACGATGGATGGAATAATCACTTTGGATTCCATAATTAAAATACATGAGAAAGGTCTCCAAAAGATCTATTACGGCTTCTAGAAAAGCGGGAACTGAATCAAATGTTGATGCTTCATTGGCGCGTTAATTGTCAAAATAGAGTTGGAGCACAAACTCATACCGAGTACACACATACCATATACTACCACAACATAATATCTAATTGAGAAAGAAAGAAAGAAAACGAGCAAGCAGGCAAGCTTTCATTGAGCAACGGACTTGCACATCACATTACGGATCTCAGCACCGTATCATCACTAAATTGACGCCACCCACTTTCACCTCTTCTTTCGCATTTGTCTCAACTCGATGTACCGAGTATATTAAGATGAAAAGGGGTGTGGGGAAGGGTAATTCTAAAATGCTATGGAGAAATAAGGTCTCGAGGGGGGAAATGAACACAGATCATTACCTTGTCCCAACAACAATGATTGTCGTCCTCAAAATTTCTTAAATTTTTCCTGGTCACACCAACCTCGGAGGGGGGGGTCGACTTGGGTTGAACTGGGTTGACCTGAGGGGGGCCCTGATGATCACTCATTTGAGGATTTCGATTTCAAAGGATGTGGAATCTGGATTGTCTTGACAACTTCCTGAATAACTCACTCGTTCATGTGTGCAACACTACTAAGAGACAATAGTAGAGATCGTATCCCTGATCCCGTTTTCTTGGGGGTGACTTATTGCGCAAGCTCATGGACTAGAACACTAGAACACTGTTGACAAGATTGAGAACTGCCAATTGAACGATAGAGCCGTGTCCTACCGAGTTGACTAATTTTCCTTTTGTCCAATCCTTCTCAATCCACTGAATAGAGTTGACGGATGGCAAATATTAAGATTTCGCCAGAGACTCACTCCACTCCGTTCTCCACTCCACCAACAGCTAGCTAAACGAGCTACTGCTAGTCTCTTACATATTTGGACCCCATGTCAACCTCAACCAAGTCATTGATTTAATGGCAAAACGAAACAACGAGATTATGAAAGTGCTGTAGGAGAGAGAAAGAAAAAAAACGATAAGTGATATTATGTTTATCATACATACCCTATGCCTACATTGTCACTGGCCGCCCTCATTCATATTGAGTATCCTTGGTTGAGTGATGGAATTTCAACAAAAAATTCAAACCTTGTTCACACCAACCACCAGAGCACCCTTGATGGTTCAATCTTCGATTTCAAGATTTTCGGAAAAAGTATGACCGAAGGAAAAGACATTCGGAGGTGATGCCACCGTGGGGTAGGCTCTCCGAGACCAAAGGACCAGCATCTGCATACCCTGGACCTATTCGCTGATTTTCTCAATCCTTGTTCTCTCCACAAGTCAAGATCAATAAACTTAGGGAAAGGAACATGCCTCTTGTCCTTTACCGGTACTTCATGCGAACCCCGCCATATAGTTCATAGACTTTATTAGTTCATGAGCTCATGTTAGAGACATTGCCCTGTCACCTTGTGGCTATTATTTTAGCTTTTTATTTCCCCTTCCAAGACGGTCCTGCTGATATACAGGGAGCCAAGGTATATGTCAGTTCCATGCCGTATTCAGGAGATATAGATGCTCGAATCGCACTCTTACAAACATCTTAGAACCTTATTTACTTGCATCTTCTGGAAAGCTCGTCATCTGTCAACTATTAAATCTGTCAACCATTAACAGAGCTTCCATCACAGCTAGATTAAGTCTCTTCAAACCAACCTTGTTCTAGCAACTTTGTTTGCGCATCAACTCCAAAATGCTTTCCAACCCCCTTCATCGTTTCTCGGCATATAATACTATGCCCTCAAACAATATGCTGTCTAACGGGCACTTACCATCCAACCATATGCACACTTCAGGCTTAGATACTCTTGCTCATGGCTCACAATATGCTATCTCACAGCTTCACCAACAACAAGTGGACATTCGTCAAAACTCACAGGGTCACAGAAATGCTACTTCAAAACATCGACAGCATCCTTATGCAATGGGAATTCCAGGAGGCAACGCTGCATCTGCCAGAGGGACCGGGAATTCTGGACCAATTCGGAGAAGAATCAGCAGAGCTTGCGACCAGTGTAATCAGCTCAGAACTAAATGCGATGGTCAAAGTCCCTGCGCTCATTGTGTCGGTAAGTATTTTCATTGAGATCTAACGGATAAGGCTCATGAGGATATAGAATTTGGACTAGGATGCGAGTATATCCGTGAACGAAAAAAGCGAGGAAAAGCTTCCCGAAAAGACCTTGCACAACAAGCCGCCGCCGCCGCCGCTGCCAATGGACAAAAATCACCTACTGATCAATCGTCCGAAGAGAGATCGCCCGTGGAGTCCCGCAATGATCCAACTTCCGCCATTTCCTTGACAAACGAAAATGTTGAATTCCCACGACATACACCATCTAGGTCTTTAAGTCTTAACACAGCCGCCGTTGAAAAGCCTTCAGCTCGTGAACTGATGAAAGGAAGAATTCGTGCTGGTAGTCTCGAAAGCCTCACAGAAGTACCATCCCAAGGACATCCGCCCCACGTTAGCCGCGCAGACGTCGATCAAATCGGGAGTCCTGGGTCCCTGAATTTGCATGGCTATTCAAGCATGCACGGTTACCGCTCTACCTTAAATCCCCACATGATGAACGGCAGTGGCAGTCATACAAACTTTAACACTTCGCAGACCGGTTATTCAGATCTACCCTATGCTATACAGGGCCAAAGCCCGCCTAATTTTACGGGTAATACCCAAGGTCAGTTTCGTTTAGCCGAAAGCCCTTTGACCGGTTTTCCTATGGGCTCTGAGGCCCCTTCACCCGGTGGGTGGATGTCATTACCCTCTCCTTCAAACCAGTACCAACACGTGACACATCAGAACTTCAATGCACCTCTACGATATCCCGTGCTACAGCCATTGGTACCTCACCTTGGCAGTATCATCCCCATCCCTTTAGCTTGTGATTTACTCGAATTATATTTCGCAAGCTCGTCATCAGCTTTGATGCACCCTACCTCTCCTTATATTCTCGGATACGTCTTTCGCAAACACTCGATACTTCACCCTACGAAACCTCGGCAATGTACGCCTGCCTTACTTGCTAGCATATTATGGGTTGTGGCACAAACTAGTGACGCAGCTTTTCTAACAGCCAGTCCATCATCCCGTGGACGAATTTGTCAAAAATTACTCGAACTCACTGTCGGTCTTCTTAAACCTCTCATTCATGGAACGTCCGGAAGCAATGAATCTGCTTCCAATTTCTCTAATACTGTCATTAATGGTGTGGCGTTAGGTGGTCTTGGTGTAGCAATGCCTGGTTCGGTTTCTACAGATACACTGAATGAAACAGGTGCTTTTGGTGCAGCTGGCACTCTTGACGATGTTATAACTTATATTCATCTCGCTACTGTTGTTTCAGCTAGCGAGTACAAAGGAGCGAGCCTGCGTTGGTGGAATGCGGCTTGGTCATTAGCTCGTGAACTTAAATTAGGAAGGGAATTACCCCACCATCCAGCACCAATGGCTCCAGAACAACCAAATGAAGGAGCCAATGATGTGGATGCTGATGGAGAAGATGATGATGAATTACCTCGAACTCCAGGGCCGATATCTGAAGAAGAGAGGGAAGAGAGAAGAAGGATATGGTGGCTTTGTTATACAGTGGACAGGCACCTCGCATTGTGTTACAACAGGCCACTCTTTCTGTTAGATATAGAATGTGATGGTCTTCTCCAGCCAATGGATGACGCATTGTGGCAGGCTGGAGAATACTATACTGGTGATTCAAGCATTCATATTACTTCCCCTTCGGGCACTCATCGTATACGGAGGCACGGACCTAACTTTGAGTGTACTGGACATAGTATATTCGGATACTTCCTACCCCTCATGACGATTCTCGGCGAGATCGTAGACCTCTACCACGCCAAAAACCATCCTCGATTTGGCATTGGCTTTCGCTCTGCTCGCGAGTGGGACGATCATGCTAACGAAATCGCAAAACAACTCGATGCCTATGGTCAGAGTCTACGAGCCTTCGAATTGGAGCAAATCCCCCCCTTGCCAGATGACCAAAAAGATCAGAACATGGAAGGAAACAATTCATCCTCTACACCAAACAAATCTCTCGAACACAACGATATCGGCTCTCCTTCAGTTCATTCAGTTCACACCGTATCCTCCAGTCACGTCTCCGAAGCCAATATCCAAACACGGATTGTGGTAGCTTACGGTACACATGTCATGCATGTTCTTCACATCTTATTAACGGGAAAATGGGACCCGATTTCTTTACTTGATGATAACGACCTATGGATCTCGTCGCAGAGTTTTATCAACGCAACGGGACATGCTGTTAGTGCAGCAGAAGCCATAAACAATATATTGGAATACGATCCCGGGTTGGAGTTTATGCCGTTTTTCTTTGGTGTGTATTTGTTGCAGGGTAGCTTTCTGTTGTTACTCATCGCCGATAAACTTCAGGTATGTTTCTTTCCCGTCTACATTTTTTTCCTCCAGAGAAATCATGTGAATCATGAAACTAACATCAACAAATAGGTCGAAGCATCACCCAGCGTAGTAAAAGCCTGTGAAACTATCGTCCGAGCCCACGAAGCCTGTGTCGCGACGCTGAACACAGAATACCAGGTTCGTTTCGCATTGATTCATTTATTCATTGATCCATACCCCCTTCTTCCCCTCTCCACCCTTGATATCGCATCCGCAAAAAACTAACATCAAACTCCAGCGCAATTTCCGCAAAGTGATGCGCTCAGCACTCGCACAGGTGCGCGGTCGCATCCCAGAAGACTTCAACGAGCAACAGTTGAAGCGGAGAGAAGTGCTCTCTCTATATCGCTGGACGGGCGATGGAACGGGTCTAGCTTTATGAGATTTTCTTTTTTCTCTTTTTTTCCTCTCTTGGCGCGCTTTTGCTTTCTTGCAGTGCGCGATGAACTGACGGAATGGGATGGGATGGGATAGGCTGGGAAGGGAAGGGATGGATACCGGATTGGGAACACGAATATGAATATGAATATGGAAATCGGAGACCCTCACCTGGAAATCTGAAAATGGGAAGGGCCAGAAAAGGATAGGATAGGGAATTCATGAAATGGACCGGAGGGAACAGATAGGAAAGGAAATGGAGATTTGATGATCTGGAGTTCGATGTGTGTATCTTTTTCTACTTTACTCGATACATATACATATGATCTTTCTTGGTATCTATGATTCAAATGTATATACTATGTAACCTTTTTACCTACCTATCTTAGTCTATATCGGCGTTGGGTGTTGGAAGTGAGAATGTGGTGTGAGGATGTATTTTTGAAACAAGCAGAGATATGAACATTTGTGAATTGCATGTAATTTTGCCCAAGATACTATGTAGATTCCAATGATGGCATGCTACTATTATCATCATCCCTCAGAGCATAGCATAAGTATTACAACTGTAAAACGAAATGAAAGATTTCAACACATCCACACCAAAATTATACATCTCTCCTTTCGCCTCTCAAACTTAAAAATATCGACAACATTATTATTACTTGCCATTCCAAATTACCATCCCATGCTACATACAACATATACAAATCTTCATTCATCTCATCTCATCTCATCATTGAATACAAATCGCTCATCAATCGGTCAATCACCAAACCATGCGCCAAGCAATGCTCGCTCATTCGCTCATTCGCTCATCAATCATATAATAGCCAATCCACACACAGCCCAATCAACAAGCAAATAAACAAATATCAAGAAGAAAAAAAAGGAAATCTCTAGCCCGGCGACTAATCGACTAATCCGCCAAGTTTTCAGCGACAACACCTGCTAGCCCCCTGTAAATATATACAATCATGTACCCACAGAATCATTGGTTAAATTAGTGGCACCTGGATCGACTACAGTTTCCGTCAATCTCAATGCCTCTTCCACGTCTTTGACGAAATGTTCTCTGCCTCCACAAGTTTCCAAAATCCCGCTTCGTTCCAATAATCTCCAAATGTGAGTTCCTTCTTGAGGACCACGGGAGAAGAATACTCTAACACCTCTATTTCTATATCCTCTTACGATTTCCTCTAAAACCTGTGTACCCGAACCGTCAAGTCCTGTGACGCCATGAATATCAAAGATGATATTTTTGTTGTGTTCAGGAGATCGTACGCGAGGTAGTGCAGGATGGGCATTATTCGTGCCGTATAATTCTAATCGTCTTAGTCGGTTTTTGAGATCACCAGTGTTGGCGAAAGTAAGTGGTTCGGGAATTTTAACAATGAGACATCCCTCGATGAATTCCAGTTTCTCTGGATTGTCTTCAGCGTTTTCGAAACGATTGGTACCAGGGATACGGCCTAGAATTTGGATACGAGGACGAGTGGAGTGTTTGATAACGGATAGAAGAGAGAGACCGACTCCGATAGCGATACCAAGGGTGAGTGAGTAAAAGATAGTCGAGGCAAAGATAATGAACATAAGGCCCAGTTCAGTATATCCACGAATCCGAATAAAAAATGCTATGTCATGCGGAGCTTCTTCGATTAAAGAATAGGCTACCACCGTAATCATTGAGGAGAGAACCGCTTTCTAGGACAATATTAGCTTAGGAAAAAAGTACGGGAAATTATGGAGGTATACCGGAAGATAATAGAACGCAGGCAAGAGGAACAGAATGCAGAGCACGGTTAACAAACTTAAGAAAATGCTACTCATGGGAGTTTTTCCACCAGTACTAGCATTAACTTTGCTTCGACCATACCCACCGAATGCAGGAACTGCTTGAAAGCAGCCACCAACTAAATTTGCAACTCCAAGAGCGACCAATTCTCGATTCGGACTGAGCTGTACACCTTGAATCAAATCTTTCCCCTCTGCACCAGCAAGACTTTTAGCCGCTACGGACGACTCGAAAAAGCCGAGAAGCGCGATCAAGAAAGAAGTGCCCATAGATTCTCGGACATGCTTCATATGAGAAATTTGGAATGGCCATCTGAAAGTAAATGGCGCTCCGCCAGTCGATTTTACCTCACCCAGGATCTGAACTCCGAGGTCTTCCCAATTATATTTCCAGGCTAGAATAGCCGAAATAACCACAACTAGAAACCTATCGGGTATGTATGCAACACTTGGATATCGAGGTTGAAGGCGCTTTTTCATCTCTCTGAATCAAATTAGTAGTGAGCGGAACTAAGACCTTTGGTCCCACATACCTGAAGATCATAATTATGACAAAACTGACACCAGCAACAACACAAGTAAGCTTATGCGCTTTGCTTGCATTGCGAATCAAAAAGCCCAACTTGTCAACACTACTGCCATGAGCGACACCTCCCATTTCATCTGCCAGTGCTGCCAATCCCATCTCTGGTATCAATTGATCGACCATAATGACAAAACCAATGGCAGAAATAAAACCTCTCAAAAATGGTCTGCTTAGCACACTGTCCAGGAACCCTAGGCGAGTTAAGCCAGCAATGAAGATTACTGCTCCTGCCATACCGGTAACGATACCAGCAACTCTTGCGTGCATTAAATCGTCTTCTTCGCCCCCATCGCCGATATCGACAGTAGATTTCACAACCGAGCCAACCAACAGACTTCCCGCGGCTTCAGGACCAACAACCATTTGTGGGCAACTTCCAAATATAGCATATATAAGTGGATTGAAAACAAAAGAGTAAAGACCATTGATTGGCGGAACGTGTGCGAGGTTGGATGCATAAGAAAGAGCCATAGGTAGGTAGAAGGAAGCCATTGTGATAGCAGCTATTAGGTCGCCCCGAAGATGTACCCATCTATATTGTCGAATCCAGGTGAAGAATGGTATGTAGTAATTTATGTACCTGTTACCCAAGAAACCGTTAGCAAAACTCTATACGCGATCCTGGCAGCTTAGTATTTATACATACATTCCAGTAGTGTTGGTAATTCCATGTTGTTCTGCGAGCCAACTTGTCGTGCTCATCCTCTTTGGCTTTGCCATTGGACCATTCCTCACTCCTAAGCCTTTAAGTAATCCTCCAATCAGCCCGTCACTAGCCTCTCCGTTGCCATTGGGAGATACAGGCGCAGAACCTCCAAAGCTCCTTACACTGTCCGCACGACTCCCCAGCCTCGGGCTGAACGTTCCATGATTGCAAGGTCCAGGATGTGCCGCATTGCCAATCGGTTCAAACGGCTTCCTCAGTAAAGCGGTGGTCTCATCGGAGAGCTTTCCTCCAAACCCAGTGTGTTCATGCGTATAGCCGTCGAGTCCATCATCTGTGCTTGCAGATGTATCGGCGCGAGTAGGATGGGCATGCGGTAATGGTTGCTCACTATCGTTCCTCGAGTTCTCATCATTCCTGTCATTTGTACCATCCTCTTCAACATGTCTTGCCGCCTCCGGACTCGTTGCAAGGGTAAAAGATTCTCTCAATCCGCTAGGATGTGTCGGTGTGAATTGCGAAATATTTTGATTTCGCAGACTTGGAGTTCTGGAATTTGATCGTAAAGGTGGGGAAGTCGGTGGTTGTCGTGATGAAGTCATGGTTAACTAGGGCGTGAATAAACTGCCCTGAATATAATAATTTTTACATCAATTTACACCTAAGAATGAAGTAATGTTTTGATTAATATTCTGGGGTTTTGGGGGAAGTCTGAAGGGAGATGGAGGAATTTGGAGATATTTGGGTGGGAGGGGACCCTTGAGACAATTTAACCAATGAAAAGAGTTAAATTGATAATTGTGGGTCTAGTGGATTATCAAGCTACCGACTTTAAACCGTTGAGATTTTCATTTGTAATTCATTCGTATTGGGTATGTGATTGTCTATCGCCAATAGCAACCAAACAATGAGAAATTCAAGAATCATCTTTGCTATATATAACCGCATCTGGTGTTGTAACAATTTGATGGAGAAAGAGAGGGAGGGAGGGAGGCAGGGAGGGAGAGAGGGTGGAAAAGAGAGAGATTGATGATGTTGAAGATACTACGTACTATGTGGCATCCCTTCAATGCCTCACATAATCTACATTGTACATCCTCTCATGAGCATCTGGGTAGGTAGATACTCTTTGCGGTTTTACATTTTTTGTGCATTTTATATTTGTAAGACTTACATTGTACATCTCTACATTTGAGGGATTTTTATCTGTGCTATATACCTCGTCTTCGATGCGTTTCCGCATTATGTCCGAAGAATGCCGATATTGTGGCATCTCGGCCGGTACTGGCGCAGGAGCACGGTGTCAATAAGGCTACCTCACGTCCCGGAATCAATATCAGTGTACGTAGATGTGCTTTGATATTTATGCGATAGTTCGCAAGCCGTATGGAGAAGGTCTTCCGAAACACTCCTGAAGTATCATTGTAAACTCAAGGGCTGAGTGCGTGAGAGATCTTTGGGGCGCAGGAATTTCAACGGAGCGTTTGTATGAGGCGGCGAGAAGCTATTTTCCGGATTCAGATATGGCCAAGATTGAGTTTGGCAAACATCCTCAGTGGACTTGGTACAAAAATCGTTTTAGAAGGTTGGCTACTTGGCATGCCAACTGGGCTATTATGGGGGACCGGGCGTACAATGTATCAGATCGTTCGGAGGTCCTGGGAGAAATGAAAGGATTGAGCATATACACACCAGCGGAAGACAACTGAGTGAACGATTGCATTTGTAGTCGGCTGTCGTACAAATCTGGAATCTTTACAGCTTATTTCTTGAAGCTAGTCAAGAAAAGCTTTTCCAGATAATTCAATATTCTTCCAAGGTCTTCGAGTTCGCATTCACAATCTTATCAACATCAATCAAGGGCTCTCCTGCACATATTTGGTCATGCTCTGGGCTTACAACACTTCCTTGTAGTAATAAAAAGATGGATTTGCAGACAGGATCCAATTATCTGTTTAGCCTTCATATTAACCCGTGCACAAACTGTTCATTCCTGGCAGGGTATTCAGGATCCAGACTGTTGGAAACTCTGATTCTTGGTTCTTCAAAACCTCTGCACATTCATCTATGATATCTCCTAGTCCTCTGCTGATTTTCCCCGTACATTATGCTTGTTATACTGACAATACGAGACCTGATTGAGGCCGTTCTGGATAGATGCTATGAACTTCGAACGAGGTCTTGTACCAAGTTGGACGCACTGTGCTAGGTCAGATGATTTGAGTTATGCGATCTCTCGTTCATTGTAAGTACTTGTTATGTCTTTTGCTCTACTCAATAGACAAGAGAAGCACAAAAGCCGTGGTCAGAATAATAGAATTGCGCCATCATGACGAGGGATAGTGCAATTACATCAGCTTGCTTCATAAATCGAACCGTGAAGATCAACTTTTTGCTACACCGGGCCCGGAAAGCAGCGAGGCAATCTTTTATCAAGCGTAGACGGATCATGCTTGATTCCATTTGATAAATTCATTTTCATATTAAATCCTTAAATGGTTTCCGATGGTTAAAGTATTTCCATTATAAATTGTTTTTTATGTAGTGTGTTGTATTATTTTGTGCATGAGACAAATATGATCTTCGACGTCAGCTTTTAAAGCATCAACTAGCCACGGCCTACTCAAATCTTGCTCGGCACCCATAGAGGCTTCTTCTTCCCTGCAAATGCTTCTAACCCAATCTGCATATTCTCACCCTCAAACAATTGCTGATCATACCTCTGTGCAACAATCTGTGTAGCTCTTTCTACACTCCCCGTCTCCCATGCCTCTCTCAATCCCGCTCTCGATACGATAACCGCATCCGGGCTCAAAGCAGCAATTTTCTCTGCGAGCTCCACACTCTCCTTCAATACCGTTTCTGGTGATTGCGCGATTCTGTTAATTAGATTGTATGAAAGTGCTTCCTTGGCGGTAAGTTTCCGATTAGTCAATGCGATTTCTGTAGCTATTTGAAGTCCACAATTGCGCACTATGCGCGGAAGACCACCAGCTGCGGCGTAGAGGCCTACAGCAGCTTCGGGAAGACCAAATGTTGCCAACGGAGATGCAACGACCAGATCACTAACAGGTATTAGTTTATACGTATCTCAGAATCCAAGAAGTAGCGGCTATAGTATACCAGTTTAAACATATCTCAAACCCCCCACCAAGCGCAAACCCATTGACCGCGGCAATAACTGGCTTCTTGCCCACTCTCCTACTAATTCCACAAAATCCGCTGGGTGGATGTCTTCGAGTCGACATTGGCGGAGGATCAATTTTAAATTTAGCTTGCTCGATTAAATCTTGGCCGGCGCAAAATGCCTTTTCTCCTGCTCCGGTAATAATGGCAACGCGCAAATCAGGGGAATCGTCAAACCAGGTGAGAATAGCATCGGCTTCCCAATGGGCGAAACTGGGTATGGAATTCATGGCTTGCGGACGATTGATGGTCACGAGAAGGATTTGAGGTGTTGGGTAGGTGAGGAGAAAAGAGGTGGTTTCGGGGGGTGCAGTCGGGGATGCCATGATTAATTTTGGTGAAATGTGTGATAATTTCTGGATAATTTGGTGGACTTTGTCAAGTCCTTTTTCTGTTTATTGATGTAAATATGGCAGAGACGGAGTTTAATTGAAAGGGGAGCATTAGTATGGGGAAGTAGTAGAGTGGAGCTCCCCCGCAAATGAAGGACACATCCGAGCCGAGGTTTAGTCCGGCGGGAAGCACGTGCCCTGTGACATCATGTGATACATTGAAGAGAACTAAGTTGGTCCATATCCTTTGGCGCCAGATCTCTTGTTGGTCAATATGTGAGTGATTGGTTGGCTGGAATAGCTCATCTTCTCTCGCAGCTGTACTCTCTATTCATATTTGACTACGAGATAATCGCAATATCTGGTACCTAGCAAGAAATTGGAAAGGCGAAATGTGGACAATGATTTAACTGCATTTCTGCTATCGATATCAGGCGATATACATGAAGTATTGCAAGACCTTCCCCTACTCTTAGCTAGGAATATTCATGGATGGTTAGAAAGCTCAGTATTCGCGTTGAGTCAGTGAACTGAGTTGCATGATCTGAATGGTGCTGTCCATCGGCTCACAACTAGATCCACCCAGAAGTTTTGGGTAGATGGACAAGACGGAGTAAAAATACGCACATTATCCTGAACATGGGCCAATTCTAATTTCTCACATTCATATGATTAAATCAGTCATTTCGAAATTGATGATTCCGGGTGGAAACCCTCTAGGAGCCCTTCACTTCAAGCTTTCGATTAGTTAGCCGTGTGCCGCAATCCTTAAAAGAGGAGTATAAATATGCAAAAGCCGGAGATACTGAAAATATCCACTCTCTAGGTGATTTAGGTCGTTTCCATTACTTTTCCAGCAGGATTCTAGAAATTTTTTATAACTTTTAATTACACATCGGGTGACCATACTTCGACAGCTCATGATGGCTTTAGACATTCATGTCGCTAGCAATAGGCCATCTGATACTCAACTGATCTGTTTGCATTAAACAATTAGACTAAGTCTTTATTATAAACAAGTATTCCTATTCTTCGTTGACATTGTTAGGTAGTATATCAATGTTCGTCTAAACACCAGATTAAGTTTCTCCACTTATAGTCTTATCCTGTCAACTCGGGTTACCATATGATGTATCCGAAATCTGAGGCCATTGCGAGAGGAATACACAAGCACTTCTTCTATCCCCAAGTTCCTTTTGGTGGCCCAAAAATCTCCCCAGTGCCCACCTTTCTCTGCACTGCTGTCTCCAGATAATCCATTGTGTTCCCTGGTGCGCTATTTCCCCACCACTAAATCATAATTAGCCTTTCACTCCAATCCAATATAACTGGGACGAGATTAACTCACATCAGGAAACCCCGTTCCCGTCAAATTCAAAGCTGCGATAATAACAATCGTGCAGATTGCCAATCCAGCATCTAGCCCCGCACTCGTGATATAATTGAACCGCATCCACCATCCTCTCCATCGATTCTTGATATATTTCTGAAAGATGAAACCATACAAACACCAACTTAAGTAGTTTAGTGGTGTAGCAGGTGGTAGTTCTGACATACCACCGAAGAATATCGGGGCGCTGAAAAATCGTACTTTCGACTTCGGGAAAGCTCGTGCGAGGAAATATATGATGAAGGGAAGAAGTGCACCTGCTAGCCAGAAATACTGGAGAGAACCATATATAGCTCCAGAGCTAAAGATGCGTTGAGGACCAATCAATCCAAAGATTACGCTAGCGTTAAAGAAGACTCTCGGACCAGGGCAGGTAAAATTATTCTTCTGGTCGCTGGTGCATATACCTTCAATATGACCCAACGCCCACTCCAAAACACCCAATTGAACAAAGCAACTCCAAACCGTTGCTACCAATTGGCCCCAAAAGACTGGTCTTTGAGGGATCTTGAGGTAATGAGCGAGTTTCAGATCGGATAAGAAAGCATGTGCTTGGTTCATAGTAATGTATCCGTATGTTTTGAACAGCATGAGAGCAATTGGACGACCAGGAAGCATATATCCTAGTATATATTCAGTGAAGACATTGAGACCGAGATGGATATTGGTTGTCGCATAGATTATACCAATGGGTATGGTCCAAACCAAAGATATTATGAGTGCGATGATTAATGCCCACCATGTCAAATGCGTAGGATATGCGCACACAGCTGCAAGGGCCATAGCCATCATCACGAGGAAGAAGACCATATACCACCATCCGGGCACGGGTTTATATTTGCGCATCATTTTGGTGTGGTTATCGTCTAGGCTTCCGCGGATAGCACGAGCGAGTATCCACTGAGAGATATGAGGTTAGTTTGTGTAGCAAATCGCGCCTAAAATCGGGAAGCTTATACTTACGATCTCTTGACCGTGAAACAAGATAGTATGGAATATTACTGCAGCAATAGCAGCGAAAGAAAGACCATACGACAGGCTAAAGGTGGTCGAAAGAAATAAGGGTGAATATTCCTATAATGAAGTCAGCGTCCGCTTACCCCTTGTCATTAAGCGAGAGAACACATACCTTATACTTCTCAATATCAAGTGTGTACTCTGGAGTTAGAATCTTGGTAACATTGTAATGTTTACCAGTATTATCATAACTGTTCGAATCAGAAATGGGTAACCATTCAGCATACCAATGCCCTGAGAAATGAATCCCAGCCGTCACAATCATGAACCAGAAGACAGTACCAATAGCCGTGTTAGCAATGGCAAACCAAGGTGGAATGAGTGGGGACTGGAGGTTGTATCCTAGAAATCAGTGAGCAGGTATTCGATCAACAATCCTAAATTCGGGGTAATAAGTTACCCGTGATCTGAGTCCAATCAAAAGTAATAGGGATAATAGAAATACCCGTCCAACCACCAAAAACCTGATTAAGAACAACATTGTTCGGTCGAATCCACGTAACGAAAGAAAAAACGCTCAAAAACTGTGCGATATAGCCTGGAAACCAATACCAGACAAAAGATCCAATAAAGACATAGAAGAAATATCTATATCTAGCTATGGACCAACCATTCGACTTAGCAGGATCTGTTTTGCTATGGTCATGTAAGGCATAAATGAAAGAAGTGCTAACGAGATTCTGCGGCCAGATCATAGAAGCGGGCTCAACTAGAAACTTCCGCATCATACCTGCAATCCCAAACCCAATACATTGTGTGGAGAGTGCAAGTAAGATGTTGAAGCCCCAACCGAAATTTTGTCCATAGAATCCTCTTTGGGCAGTCAGTGTATCAGTAAAATATGCTACTCCTTGACCAAATGCAGCATTAGCCATGATTACAATGAGACCATGTTCCTTCATGTTGAATTTCCCTGGACTAAGATTCCACTTTACTCCAAATGTGCTGTAGGTCCGGTCTGGAAAGATCATTGTCCAGCCTACCCCCAGAGGATATGCGACCATTTGTACGACGATGGACGTGATTGTCAAAGAAGGAGCTCGGAGTGAGAAAAGAGAATTCAGACCAGATGCAATAGTATTGAGAACGAGTCCGATTACCCATGCTCGAATCGTGTTACATGGAAGATCTTCGTCATAATTCCTAACTGCTGCACGAACCTAATCTCAGGTCAATTGAAATAGCAAACAAGAATCGCATCGTCTCACCTCAGGATATGGCGAGTTCTCAAAGACCTCATCATAGATTCTTCCTTCAGCATTACCGTCTCGCCTGTTGATGGCGTCATCGATTTCTTCTAGTTGATCTTGGCCTAGGTTTGGATCCCATCTGTGAAGTTGCTCGAATGCGGTCAATTTGCGATTCGTTTCTGCCTCTTGTATGTCACGAGCAGTTGACACCGCGTCATCCTTCTCTTCTGCCCTTCTGATGGTATCTGGTGGAGTACGTGATTCTGCAATAGAGTCATCCTGTGAAGGAATACTCCCTGGAACAGGATCCCGAGCTCGGAATCTCTTGAAAACTCCAGCCATGATGATATGTCCGGGAAATACAGATCAGGCAAAAGGGTGCAACATGAAGAATAGAATAGAAATGAGTTTGAATTCAGAATGGAGGTACATATTTAAAGAACTGTCTACAGGCCATACACCCTCCTGATAAGCTATATCAAAACATACCCCCTCTACAATGCAAGATAACAAGTGATAACGATTATTCTCATGTATCCAACAAGAAAACTACAGAGGCCCGCTATGCAAAACCGCGATAGGCAGGTATTCCCGTTTCAAATCCTTGACAATAAGAAAATATCCAACTGCCGTGCAATATTGTACAGATGTTGTACCTGACTATCAACCAATCAGAACACAAGATTCTCTGCGTATCGAGCATGACCCCGCATGTTCAACCGGGTGGACGATAAGAGCTTCTTTATCGAGAATTTATTATCTTTAGAGGGTCAATCGATAATGATGTGCAGTAAGATGATACCGGATTTTATGTTTGTATGTGTAGAAGTCATAAAGTATATCTAGACTGTTTCGACGAGTTGTATTCTCGGGCGAACCACCACGGCTAGTACGGCAAGCTTGATTACTGTGTGGGGACGATGAGCCGAGTTCTTTTCCAACATCCTCCCTGATTTTAGAAATCTCTTTTGATCCAATCATCAAAATTTGGGCAATCTGTTCCGGAAACTTTAAAGGAGGCAAAACAACATGGATCAAAGACCTGCCCTATATATCTGTCGTACTTCAATTCCAACCCCCGTTGCCGCACTTAATCTATCGAGATACAGTCGCATAGTGCGATCAAGTTTGTGTGGATCTCGGGTGGGAGCAGAATCAAATTCCTGATAGTCATACATCAGTAAAAAGCGAATGCTTCGAAGATCAGGTGTTGAGGTTCTCCAAGCACCCAACCAAGATTGAATTGCCATGAATACAACGTCATAATTGACAAAGTTTTGCCAGTCTAGTTCTTTATCATCGGTGAGAGTGAGAACCTCGATATTCTTAGGCACAATGCGTTCAAATTGTAAAGTCTGGCCAACTCGAGGAAAATCGCGAAGTCGATGCCTTGAGGCAGATCCAAGCAGAAATTCTATATTAATCTCAAGTCTCTTCAAAGGTGTGAAACTTACGAGTGCGCCTAATGATCCTCGGACTTCGACCCAAGGAGAATGCACATTAACCATTTCATTTTCAGCGGAGATAGTGAGGTCAGTTAAGGTATCTTGAACGAGCCGCAATGCCATGATGATAACGTCGTATCGAATCTCAGCTTCAGAATCACCATAGTGATGCCATCTCCAGCGCAGAGTTTTGAGTCTAGTCGTAACACTCAGGATCTGATGAAGCATCCCAACCCGTACCATGTCAAGATCTAGTGACGTAACGGATGATGCTACGAGTCTTGAATCTGGACTCCAGTAAAGATCTGCATCTATTGCAGCCGATAGACAAACAATGTTTGGAAAACAGAGGAACTCAAGGATGTTTTCTGGGTTGAAAGTTCTGCGTCTAAATCGACCTATGGTGGTCCGTTTGAAGGTCACATGTTGAAGTTGTTCAAAAGAGGCAATTTTGAAATTGCAATCTTGAGAGACGGTCGATCTGAGAACCAAGCCAACGATTTCACTGCTATGCAAAAAATTCGGATTCAATCGAAAGTATATCAGATTCGGGAGTTTATAAAGTAAGATGGCGACAAAAGCGTCCATATTTCTGTTGCGCAATTCGCTGATCCAAATATCTTCTCCAAAATCAATTTTGAAGGTCTTGATGACTTCAATCAATTGTTCGAGGTCGGTTTCATCCACGGTGAGTCTAACATCACGAATTGTGGCAATGCTACGCATGGATTCGCCACCGCTTCTACCGAGCGTGAGACCTTTCACACGAATGGCTAGGTGGGGCCTCGAGAGTACGTTTTTGATGAGTGAAATGATTCGGGGCGGTCTCCAATGTTTCCTCCAATTCAATTGAATCTCAGAGTACAAGAACGGCTCCGCAATCTCATTCAACATCTTGCATGCCCAGAATAAACCGTAGAAATGTTCGGCAGAGAGAAACTGAAAGATCATGCAATGAATTTCGGTGGGACAACGAAGGAGCCCAGGAGCTTGGAAGACAGCTTTCATGTCTATAGTTGGAGGCCTTGACGAAGATGTTGCTTCGACGAAGATGAGTGTGAGATCAAGATGTTTTGGATAGAGAGAGGTCCAGAGATGAAATTCGTCGCGGAGATGTAATGCTGATATCGCAATTCGCAAACAAACACAATTTAAATGTACAATTGCTCTTGCAGGGAGAATACATTCTACTAGTAAAATTTCTATTCTGGAAGGTGCGCTTATCTAGATGGTTACAGTATTTGAAGCTATGAAACTACGAAACTACTCTTTCAGATGGAAGGTGTCACTCATCTTCGATTCGGACCAAAACACACAGCAACCACCTGCCCACCATAAACCTTGATATTTAGATCTTCTCTGAAAGTGAGAACTCATTGTATGAATTTAAAAATATGAATTTCGCATACGGCTTCGATGTTGTCCCCGTCATACTGGATATCATAGGTATTTTAAGAGAGGACAATCTCTCGAAGAAATTTCGCAGGCTAATGCTACGTTTGCTAATTCTTACCAAACGGCAGCATTATGTTTAAAATAGTATACGCTCTCAGAGAGAAAATACCTAAAAAAAAATCTGTCAGCTCGAGAGCTGCACTGCAGTCATATCAACGGACGAAAAGATCAACACATTTTCTGACACACCGGATTACCGCCTGGCTATCAAACTTTCCCAGATTTTGAATGTTAAATTGCTTTCAAACACCGAGATGTTCTCAATTCTTTTATTCCTTTTCCAACTCCAATTTCAAAATTGAAAATTCCAGATTTCTGGGTCACGGTCTTCACTGTTAGACCCTCTCGGTTTCAACAATAATTGAAGCTACATTGAGAAAAATGCCTCGAAATAACCCAGCCAGAAAGATGTAGTGAATGCGATCGAAGACATCTTGATTTCAGATACTTGTTATGTAAGATTACATGGGAGATACTATGACTAGTATGATAGAAGACGACCTTCACGAGATATCGGAAGATCAATGAAGATATCAGGATGTTGAGTGTGATTAAAGGACCAAAATCATGAAATATAATGTACGTCTAGAACAACAGTCTATTTGAAAACTTCAAGTAAAGCAATGAACCCTCCTTAATTGTTCACTGATAATCAACCCACTGAAGGATTTACCAGATGACATTAGGAGACCCAGATACCAAACAAATTGCTCCAAGATCAAATTCATCATTCAAGAAAATAGTGAAAGAAAGAACGCGTGTTGAGCCCGTTGGAAGTATTACACAATCGTAAGAAATAAACTGATCAAGAAGTATCGCTGATATCAAAGGGCAAGCAAGACTCACCGCCATCAATTGCCATCTCCCTAACTGATGGTAAGCACTCCGCTACTCAACTCTGACGAAATCATTCTTCCTCTAAAAATGTATTTGGCTCCAAGTGAACATCGCGCACTATTACTCAGCGAAATCACTTCTCTTAATCCTTTTGATCGCTCGACCAAACTCCACAAGCATATGTATTTCCCTCCATATGTGCCATTAATCAAAAAAGCGCCACGAGATCAAAAGTCACAGATCGAGTATATTCACGAGTCATTGTTGATGTAGAAAGAAGGATAGGAAGAGTATTTGCAGCACAGTATGTTCTCCATGTATGTCATGCATACATCTTTCTGTAAATGATTGGGTTTGGTGAAAGATAAAAAGGATTGCCGACTTTAAAGTCACAAACCAATTTAACGCGCTTAAATCTCTTACTCGAGTTTGAAGCTTTTGAATATACTACACTATCGCACCTATTTCAAGAGGAGGATGCTACATCTGAGGTCACGTGGAAGTCTTCAGATTTCTTTAAAGGGGTACAGTTTCGAAAGCAACACTAACCATAATTAGCAGCATCCATAACTGATAGCAAGCCCTACAATAAAACCCGTCTTCATCCTTCTAGATCTCCGTCCCCCTGGCTCGTAACGCTGCCCAAGTACGTCATATGTGGTTACACGCAGCGACTCCACAACCCATCATCGTATATAGCGTTTAGCAGCAGAACCTCAAGACTCCACTCCACATCCATCAACATCAACATCAGCATCTATATTTACCGCAAAGACAAGACACTAACTAAATATCCGCAAACTACTAGCCGTCGAACAAATAGAAGAGAAGCAACATGACGAAACAAAACAAAGTTTGGATAAAAGCAAGGAAGATAGAAAACTTTATTCGAGAAAGATAGATAGACAGCGAGATAGTGAGATAGAGGAATGGAATGTAAGACAGTGAACATCAAAGCGCGATAAGGAAATCAAGAACTCTCTTTTTATTTCCCTTTTGTATCATGCATGGAATCGCAGTAGTATGTGATTAGGTGCTTCCCCGCAGATGAGATATCTCCCTTGCGTACGATGGATTTAGAAAATTCCGTTGCAAACACTAGAAGGAAGTGGAGTTGGTATTGAAAAGGGGTTGAGCTTTTCCTCTCCAGGATTCTCGATAGCGAGGGTACGAGGGTACGTATAGAAGACATTTGATAGCTCCATCTTCTAGAAGGAACATCATATCTCTTATCAGCGGAACGATGTATCCGTCCCTTCATGCTTACCTCCAGAATCTATATCTCCAATCCTCTCGGCCGAGAAGCCGGCCAAGAAATCGGATGCGGATTAACTGATCCGGAGGGTAGCCGAGCGGGAGCGGGTTGCTGACCGGTATTCATGTTTGACATCAAGATCATATCATAGCGTTGAGTTCGTACGACCGCACGAACATGATACGATGTTATATACACACATAGCTCTAGCAAGTGTGATATATACTTAAAGGATGAATCGAAGTGTAATTTTACAGTTTTACGGATGCGGAGGATAAGTGAATATGTGAATGATTATTCATCTACGAACAACAGCCTTTACCTAAACCATATTCTCGGGACGATTATTTCATGTGATCGGTAGATGTTTGTGCGTGCGCTCCAGAGTTCAAAGAGGGAATCAACGGAGATGAAAACGCAGAGATTGAACTCGGTAATGGGTGACTATGACAAGGCTCAGGTAAAATTCTATTTCTGAGAGTCCGTGTGGGTGTATTTGTGGATGTGGATGTAAAGGAGAGCGCCAGTCCATCGATTCGCAATACATACTCTGTTTGTGGGATATACATCATTATCCATTCTTACCTCCCGTCGTACATATGCTGTACCCATCAGCAAGCCCAAAATTTCCTTCCCTTCCTCAGGTTTCCTTTGCAACTCCTCCAATAATCAGCCACACAATTTCCAAATCTGCCACCTATACCCAAGAAATCGGGAGGGATCAAGGAACTTATATCGATCAGTATCCCATGCCATTCTACCCATCCATCCACACTAGGGTTGGGATTTTTGATGATATATAATATCGCATATTCGTCAGTTGAATATAATACGTAATATTAGTCAAATCGCATTATATGTATAACTAATCATAAAATCCTATAAAAATCCTATAAAAGGCTATTTTGAAGCTATTTTGAAAGAAAATAATTAGTATATAAATCACATGATTAGCAAATAAATAGCACCTGACTTTTAGGTCTAATTATACACTAAATTGAAAATTACAACCCACTAAAAACTTTTTCTAAAAACGACCCACTTTCATTCATCCTGATGATTTTATTGGTCCAAAAAACACGTGCATAAGCTTGGCATAATATTTTATATTCCTCAAAAAGTGTGATAATATGAAATTATATAATCAACCCTAAGAATATGTAATTTGCCCATCCCTAATCCACACCTCGCAAACACAATAATCCTGCGGCGTGGATATTCGTGCATACCCTATCCTAACCATCTATATCACTGCTTGTTATATACCTCTCTACCTACCTATTACCTGCATATCCGTACGCCTTAAATTTCTCACCGACTTTATCTTGTTTCGGGCTTTTGTACCGGTACTTTCCTTCGTATCTGGGTGTTGGGATTTTGGGATTTGGGATTTGGGCTTTGAGAGCTGGCATTGTTGCGGTGAAGGGGTTGGGAGGATAGGGATAGAGATTTGGATGGGAGGGAGGGAGATGTATGGATAGGGATTATGAAAGATGTAGGAATGAGCTGATGAAATGAAATGAGGTGAGTCTTACAATAGGAGGGCGACAAAATGTATCCGGTGGAGTTGGGTATGAGGTATGGAATAGAGAAAATGGGGTGAGATATAGATAAAATATGATAGGAATGGGATGACGGCATGATATCTACCTACAGATATGTATTGAGCTCCTGGTCAGCGAGACAATATTACTTTTTGATAGTGATCGACCTGATCTAGGATTTTGATGGAAGGGAGAGATATAGTGAGGATATTTAGATATGATTTTTGCTTTGATTTCTCGTGACATCAATGATAACGATGAAACTAGAGAATTGCTTCATCAGCTAACACAACACGATACCTAGTAAGTCGGGTACCCTACTTTCGGGCCACCCCCCTTTTGGGCCACTTTTTATACCTAAAACACACTAAAAATGGAATTTATAACTTTCTTATTTATGAATAGAATTTAATGAAAATTTATACATATATAATTTAGATCGATTTAAGCTTAGTCTGAAATTTTCAGATTTTTAGAATTTTTCTGTATTGAAATCTAGAGCTTCAAAATATCGATTTTCAAATTTATATAGAAATCACATACAAATTTAAACTTTTTATAAAATCTTTAATAACTTTTTAACAATATTAATTAAAAGAAAACTATATATATTTTTGAAATATTTAAGCTTGAATCTATATAGAAATTCCAAAAAAAATTCAAAAAAATTAACAAATATAGAGATATAATATACAATGAGTTTAGAATAATATAAATAATCCCTATCATTTTGAAAATACCCTTATAAATATTTATTTATAAGAAATTTTTTATTTTTTCTAAATCTCTTATATTGAATATATTATAAATTTATAATAAAATTTTATAGTTTATTTTTAGCAATTTTTATTAGAAAGTTATTAAAGATTTAATAAAAAACTTAAATTTATATGTGATTCCTATACAAATTTAAAAATCGATATTTTGAAGCTCTAACTCTCAATACAGAGAAATCCTAAAAATCTAAAATTTTTAGAATAAGTTTAAATCGATCTAAATTATATATTTACAAATTTTCATTGAATTATATTGAATATTGATAGAGATATTAATAGGCCTAAAAAGTGATTTTTGGTGTAAAAGGGTGGCCCAAAAGGGGGGTGGCCCGAAAGTAGGGTACCCGACTTATCACTCACTCCACTATCTCCGACAGTAAACCCGAGTACTTTCCCAGCCAACACATCGAGAGTTTTGTCCTCAACAACCCTATGTGCGCATACTATGGAATTGAAAGTAATTGAGATTGATACAACAAAATAGGGATGTCCTTCCATCTGTCTATATGAAGCCATCCAGAATCTATTTACGTGACCATTACAAATTTATTCGTGGCAAAATAATAGCGGTGAGGTGTGAATAGTTCTATCTATACCCCTATCGATATAAACTCAAGCTATCTAAGCTAAGCAAATAATAATATAGTATTAATCTATCTAGATGTCTAGTTTATAGAAGACTAAATAACGTATATAAGACTCTTAATTATATTCTCTAAGATTATTTATTAAGTATCTACTCTCTATAAAAAGGAGGAGAGAGAAGGAGATTTACTAGAAACTATATCTCTAATAAGTCGGATACCCCACTTTCTGGCCACCCCCCTTTTAGACCACTTTTTACACCAAAAATGGAAATTTTGATTCTCTCATTTATAAATAGAATTTAATAAAAATTTATATATATATAATTTGAATCGATTTAAGCTTATTCTGAAATTTTCAGATTTTTAGGATTTTTCTATATTGAAATCTAAAACTTCAAAATATCGATTTTTAAATTTATATAAGAATTATATACAAATTTGAAACTTTTATAAAATCTTTAATAATTTTCGAATAAAAATTACTAAAAATATATTGTAAAATTTTATTATCACTTTATAATATATTTTATATAATAAATTCAAAAAAAATAGAAAATTTCTCATAAATAAATATTTAAAGGGATACTCTCAAAATAACAAGAATTATTTATACTACTCTAAATTCACCATATACTATATTTCTATATCTATCAATTTTTTTGAATTTTTTTTTGAATTTCTATATAAATTCAAACTCAAATATCTCAAAAATATATATATAATTCTCTTTTAATAATTATTATTAAAAAATTATTAAAGATTTTATAAAAGTTCTAAATTTGTATATAATTCTCATACAAATTTGAAAATCGAGATTTCAAAACTCTAACTCTCAATCCAGAAAAATCCTAAAAATCTAAAATTTTTAAAATAAACTTAAATCGATTTAAATTATATACTTATAAATTTTCATTAAATTATATTAAATATTGATAGAGATATTAATAGATCTAAAAACTGATTTTTAATATAAAAAGGTGGCCCAAAACAGAGGTGACCAGAAAGTAGGGTACCCGACTTACTTAGGTACTTACTTATTACTCACCTCTACCTCTCAGTCCTTAAAACATCTTCTAAAAAAACGAGCTGAATCCTCCCTTCCTAGTAAATATTAAATTCCAACGTTTATAAAAACAATTAAAAAACAATAAAAAAATACGATACATACATACCTACGCACGAGATACATATCTAATACTAAACAACTCTCATTTATTTATTCATCTACTCAGTCGTTTTGCTAAAGAAATAATCCCGGAGGAGGCGTTTGTCGTGGGTCAGATATCTTATATACGGTACCTAGTAATTGTTAGAGTAGATAATAGCAATGAATCAATTAGATGTAATGTAGTACAAAGACTTTTCATTAATTCTTCTAAACTATGAAAATTCTACAATTTATAATTGTATGCGGGTTGGCGTCGGCCCGAAGTAGCCCCGCAGGGGCTACTCACGTGCCCTCGCCAGCCCTTACACGGATTGACCGTGACAGAAATCTTATAATATATGTATATATGTGGTATATGTATTATGTATTATATAAGCGGAGGAGGAGATTTATTTATAATATAATTTTATAATTTTATAGTGTGTATATAGATACATATATACATAAGGTTACTAGGTAGTCAGGATATATACATACATACATATCGTAATCTTACATAGATAATAAAAACCCAAGTCCCAATACGAAATATCAAAAGATTCGATATATACCTATGTATTTCCGTGGCGTGCTCAAGGTAGGTAGGTATCTGTCTACCGTTGGTGTAACGCGTTCGTTTGAGTTCGATGAGTGAGAAGTGGGATGGGAGAGGGCGGAAGGGGTGTGTGTAATATGTATCTTGATTGGGGGATTTGTTGGGGGTTTGTTGTACAGCATAGATGGATGGATGGATGGATGGATGAGGGTGTTGGGTGTGTTTTTGCTGCAGTATCTACCTGATGATTTGATTGTGGACTTGGATCATGGATGGAGAGATGGAGAGATGGAGAGATGGAGTGAAGAAGGGTTTTGGGGGGTGGGGGGATGGATGGAATTTGAGTTTTATTGATGCTTATTTTTTTTTTGGCTTGGATTTGTAATTTGTGATTTTTGATTTTTGATTTTTGAGGGATGTTTGAATTGAATACGAGTAGAATAAGACAATATTGTTACTACTGTACT